GCAGCAGATACTTTTAACTACTGAGCTATCTTTCCAGCTCCAAAATTTTCTAAACAAAGAAGGAAAAAAAGCCAAAATATGACTAAAAGTAAAGGAAGAGGAGGGGAAGGGTAAACCAAGAGGATAGAGGTGGCAAATATAAAAAGAAGTTTTTCTTCTAAGATTTATTATGTATTCAGTATTATGTATACAGTATTCTGCCAACACACCAGAAGAGGGCACCAGATCTCATTATGGATGGTTGTGACCTCTGAAAGAGCAGCAAGTGCTCTTAACCTCTGAGTCATCCCACCAGCCCCAGGAGGAAGTATTTGAATGACTTCTTTGTTGCTTCTCTAAAATTGAAGTTGGGGTAGGGGTTGGGGAGATGATGCAGAAGTTAAGAGCGCTGGCTGCTCTTCCAGAGGATCTGGGTTCAAATACCAGCACTTCCATGGAAGCTCACAACTATCTGTAACTGTGAAATCTCATGAAATCCAAACCTGATCTCCATGGGCACTGTGTTTATACATTGCATGCACACAGTGTATAAGCACAAAGACAAATGTTTATATACATATAAAATAAAAATTAAGTTGCTAACCTTCCAGGTGTGGTGGAGCAGGTCTTTAATCAGAGCACTTGGAAGACAAAGGCGGGGGTGGTTAATTTTATAAATGGGATGTGTCTTGCAAGTATATTGAGAGTGGAGGAAACAAAGGCCGAACTAAGATTTATACAGTGCTGCAGTCTCCATATTTTCAAAATCCAGCTTTAAACCCTACTGGAGGGGCACGGCTCTGCTCTTAAATGAAACTGCCCCCTTGGAGATTTGAGGCTGTGTTCCTTTGGAGGAGGGATTATGTGCTCCCCTGGAGGCCTGAGGCTGAGCTCCACTGGAACTTTCCATAGGAACTTTAGTTCCCACATCTCTCCAGTTGTTAATCTTACCTTGGAGCATTGGCTCCTGAGGACCATCCATCCCACGCTTAGGGTTATCAGACTTCTCAGTCACCAAGGGCAGGGCTCTCATCCACAGTATCCTTCACTATCCTAGTCATCTCTCTCCTTCCTGTACTTTTTGGGTTTATCAGTAGCCAACCCTGCTAAATCTGCCTTCTAACACTAGGCTTCCCCTTGGGGCTATTTCAGGCTGCTCCTGGGCCCCTTGGCTTGGGGTTGTTCTTTGTTTTTCAGGCCAACATTATAGCTCAGTCTTAAGTAAAGATTTCTTCCTTTTCATTTTTTTTTTTCCTGAGACAGGGTCTCATGTAGTTCAGGCCAGCCTTAAACTTACTTGCTATATATAGCTGAGCATGATCTTGAACTTCTGATCCTCCTGTCTTTCATTCCTAAGTTCTGAGACTGTGCTACTGTAGTGGTTTAAATGAGAATGTCCCCTAATACATGAGCTATGTCCCTAGTTGGTGGCGCTATTGAGAGAGGTTTAGGAGGGATGGCCTTGCTGGAAGGAGTGTGTCACTGGAGGCAGGCTTTAAGAGTTTAAAACCTGAGGTCATTCCCAGCTACTTTCTCTGCTTCTTCATCTTGCAGTTTGAGATAGGAACTCCCAGCACAATGCCTGCTGCTTGCTGTCATATTACTTCTCCATTAATGGATTCATCCTGCTCGAACCACAAGCCCAAATAAACCTTTTCACAGTTGTCTTGGTCATGACATTCTGTCATAGCAACAGAAAAATAATGAATACACCCATCACACTTATTTTTAAGTGATAGTTTCTTTTTTTCTTTTCAATGTTTTTTGACATGGTCTCACATTGTCTTGAGCTCTGTGTCTATCCAAGGTTGACCTTGAGCTCCTGATCTCGCTTCCTCACAAACAAGATCAAAGCAACAACAGTATGAACATACAAAGTGTACTTTATTGAAATGAATGATTTAGTATTTCAAATGGCACCCTTAAGATAATGCAGATAATACTAAAAGTTGGAGAAAACATTTGCTTGTAACATGTAGGGCAAGAAACTTGTAGCCACAGTGATTAAAAAAATTCTTCAGCCCAATAAAAACAAACAATCCAATGAACAAAGGAGAGATACCTGGGCAGATATTTTTCCAAGGAAGATACACATATGGTCAAAAATAACCTAAAAGATCTCAGAAACCCTGGTCATTAGGAACTAGCAAATCCAAACCACAATGATAAATAACATCACACACCATGGGATGAAGTACTACTTTAGTTTTCTGTTGCTGTGATAAACACCAACAATAACAATTTGGGGAAGAACAGGGTTTGTTTGGCTTACAGGTTATAGTCTGTTAGGAAGTGAAGCCAGGACAGAAGTTCAAAGTAGGAACCTGGAGACAGTGACTGAGCAGAGGCTATGGAGGAGTGCTGCTTACTGGTTTGCTACATGTGGCTTGTTTAGCATGATTTCTTATACAACCCAGGACCACCTGCCTGGGCAGACATTGTCCATGTTGGTCTGGGCCCTCCCATATCAATCATTAGTCAAGGAATGCTCCAGTGACATGCTCAGAGGCCAATGTGAAGGAGGTAATTCCTTAACTGAGGCTCTGTCTTCCCTGGTGACTGAAATTTGTGTCACATTGGCAGTGCTAAGCAGAGAGATGGAAAAAATAAAATAACATACATGAGCTGGTGTAGGTTGGATCCAAAATGTCCCCTCTAGGCTGGTTTTTGAGCACTTAGCACTTAGCTTGTGGCTACATCAAAGGCTGTGGAGCCTTTAGGAAGTGGGCAAAGCATCTTGGCTGAAGTAGGTCACTAGGGCTGCCCTGGTTCCAGTTCTGTTCTCTCAGCTTCCTGTCTGCCACCCTGTGATGAATCTGCCACTTCCTAGGTCCCGCTGTCACCAGCAGCCACCAGCAGAACTCCTCCCATCATGGTGCGTTCCCTACTATGACAAACAGCCGAGAAACAAAAAAAAAAGAAACCTTTCTGTCCCTAATGTGTTTCTGTGTTTTGGTAACAACGATGCAAAAATAACTAATATTGAGGGTTTGCTAGAATATGAATAATCAGATCACTCATGTGCTTCTAGGCAACTGTCAAATAATTTGAGAAATAATTTATCAGAGGCTATGGCTGTAGCTCATTTGGTGCTTGGGTGTTTCTCCTAGCATGCATGAGGCCCTTGAGTTCAACACACAGCACTACATAAAATCAGAGTTGGGAGGATCACAGGGTGGCTCAGTGGGTAGCACAAATAGTACTTGGAACACACATGGAAAGAGAAAACCAACATCTATAAATTGTTTCTGACATCCACATGGATAATTGAATGAATGAATGAATGAATGATTGAATGAATCAGTCAATCAATAAGAGCTGGTGGCACATACCTGGAATCCCAGTGCTTTGGAGGTAGAGGCAGGAACATCACAGGTTCAAGGTCATCTTTGGCTATATAGCAAGAAGTCAGCCTGGCTATAGGAGATCCCATCTCAAAACAAAACAAAACAACAAGGAAAATAATCTGACACATAGAATTGCTTAATGAGAAGGTTTGGTAAATAACCTATCATTAATAGTTTTCTTCATGTATAAAGAAAGAATGGCACCTGCTTGATGATAATATATTTTCTCCTCCCCCCGCTCCTTTTTCTAGACAGGGTTTCTCTGTATAGCTCTGGCTATCCTAGAACTTCTCTCTGTAGACCCAGCTGGCCTTGAACTCACAGAGATCTGTCTGCCTTGCTTCCGAAGTGTGCTGGGATTAAAAAGTCACCATTGCCTGGCAATAATATATTTTCATAGTTAAACATTAATGAAAATCAGGGTCTTGGCTCCCCCAACATACCTGTAAGAAAATGAAAAGTTGACTCACAGATTAGGAGAAAGCATTTACAATATAGGACATAAACCTAATCCCAAGGCATGCAGAGAACTCTGACAATAATGAAGACAACTCAAGTGAATAGACAAAAGGAAAGGGAGATGTGGTGGTCTGAATGTAATCGACCCCCATAAGCTCATTGGGAGTGGCATTATTAGGAGCTGTGGCTTTGTTGATTAGGTGTGGCCTTGTTGAAGGAAGTGTGCCACTGTGAGGGTGGGGTGTGAGGTTTCCTATGCTCAAGCTACCACCCAGTGATGGAGACTACTTCCTGTTGCCTGCAAGATATAGGACTCTCAGCTATTTCCACAACATCATGTCTGCCTGCATGCCACCATGTCCCACCATGATGATAATGGACTGAACCTCTGAACTGTCATTGAGCCATCTCATTAAATGTGTTTCCTTTATAAGAGTTGCCATGGTCACGGTGTCTTTTCACAGCAATAGAAACCCTAACTAAGACAGGAAGGATGGAAAAGTTGATCGTGGGTTCTAAGTCACAAGCGTAAACAGCTTTGGTATGTGTTACCCAGCAAGGTGACAACATTTATGCCTTATGTATTATAGAAAGCTCAAGGATTTTGAGCTTTTCACCATAAAGAAATGACAAATGTTTGAGGACATAGATGTGTTCAACCTGACTGAAATGTTATAAAATGCAAATATATCTAAATTCCATTCTGCCCCATGGATACATGTTGCATTTATCTTCAACAAAGACTTGTCCAACTTGAATTTTTTAAATTGCGTGTGCCCTCATGCATGTATGTGCTAGGCTTGCATAGCTGTGCTTTTATCTGATGAGATAACCTCCTAGCAAGTCAATAGTTTTGCTTTAACTAATTATTGTGCCACAAAGCACTTGTGGTGGCCAGCACGCAACTTTCTGGAGGTGGTTCTCTCCTTTCACCTTTGCTTGGTTTCTGGGGGTCAAACCCAGGTTGCCAGGCTGGAGCTGTAAGGGCCTTTACTCACTGAATCATCTCATTGGCCCCTTTACAAAATATTTTTTATTATTATTAGTCGGACAGTGTGGTGGTGGTGGCACACACCCTCAATCCCAGAATTCAGGAGGCAGAGGCAGGTGGATCTTTGAGTTTGAGGCCAGCCTGGTCTACAGAGTGAGGTCCAGGATAGCCAGGGCTACACAGAGAAACCCTGTTTTGAGAAACAACAACAACACAAACAAACAAAAAGTTTATTATTATTATATTTTAGACTTATTCATTTTATTTTGTGTGTATGTGTACTAAGTACATGACTGGTGTCTTCAGAAGTCTGAGGAGAGCATCAGATTCTCCTGGAACTGGAGTTATAGATGGTTGTGAGATTCTTAATGAAAACCAAGGTCTTGGCTCTCCCAACATACCTGTAAGAAAATGAAAAGTTGACTCACAGATTAGGAGAAAGCATTTACAATATAGAACAATATGAGTGCTGGGAATTGAGCATGATCCCTCTGCAAGAGCAATAAGTGCTCTTAACTACTAAGCCACCTTTCTAGCCCCTTGACTGAGATGAGGTCTTGCTGTATATAGCCCAAGCTGAACTTAAATCCTTGATCTTCCTGCCTCAGGTCCTGAGTGGTGAGATTCACCGATTCATCCATCTCACTGAGTGGTGAGATGCCCAGCTTGCTTAAGTTCTTTTTGTTGTTTTGAGATAGGATCTCACTCTGCAGCCCAGGCTGTTTTAGAACTCATTTTGCATTCCAGACTGGCCTTGAATTCACAGCAATCTGCCTGCCTCAGCTTCCCCAGTGCTGGGATTACAGGTGTGAGTCACCATACCTTTTCCTAGGTTCTAATTTAGGGACTTTTCCTACTACTATTATGACATTAGGCCAATATTTTACTTTAAGGCCCAATCTTCTGTATAAAACTGAAATTAGTTGGAGAATTTTTAAAAATTCAATACAAAATCAGGATGGGAGAGATCACTCAGTGGTTAAGAGAACCTGCTCTTCTTGCTGAGACCCTAGTTTGATTCCCAGCACCCACAAGGTGGCTCACATACTTCCAGTTCCAGGAGATCTGATGATCTCTGCAAGCCCAAGGTATAAATTCAGGCAAACATTCCTATACATAAAATAAATAAATCTTAAATTTTAAAAAAGTTTAATACATCACCAGTTCAAAGTGTTTAGGAAAATAGCAGCCTTTGCTGGGTGATGGTGGTGCACGACTTTAGTCCCAGCACTTGGGAAGCAGAGGCAGGCAGATCTCAGTGAGTGTGAGGTTAGCCTGGTCTACAAAGTTAGTTACAGGATAGCCAGGACTGTTACACAGAGAAACCTTATTTCCAAAAAGAAAGAAAGAAAGAAAGAAAGAAAGAAAGAAAGAAAGAATGAAAGAAAGAAAGAAAGAAAGAAAGAAAGAAAGAAAGAAAGAAAGGAAATAACAGCCTTCTAAGCCCACTATTGCAAAGGAAAACAGAGTACTGCAAAGTTGCTGCTGATCAAGCTGGCTGCCTGTATGCTTGGTACTTTACGCACAACACTTCAGTGAGTCTCCACTAATTCTTTTAAAGTTTTCTTCAAATTCCAGAATGCTGGACTCTCATCCAGTTGGCCGTGCACACTTGTATATTTTTTTTGTGCACAGTTATCTGCTTTTATTAAAACAATACTCAGAAAAACGAGGCTGGTCAAGGGAGCAATTAGCCATGGTTTATTCCGGTGTGTTTCCAGGGTGGCAGGAAACCAGTCCAGAATGAGATAAGAAGTTTGGGCCTTTATTGGGTGTGACTGGACTTCTGGACAAAGGGGAGCAGCAATTTTTTTTTCTGGCCAGCTATTTTCATCCCTGGCTTAGAGAGTGTTGAAAAACATTGAGTGAGGTAGATTGCTACTTTCATAGGCAGAGAAAGAACATCAACAAGGAGCAGGAGGAGCTAGGCCTATTTGTTTTTTTTTGTTTTTTCTCGAGACAGGGTTTCTCTGTATTGCTTTGGAGGTTGTCCTGAACTTGCTTTGTAGACCAGGGTGGCCTCGAACTCACAGACACCGTGTGCCTGTCTCCTGTGTGCTGGGATTAAAGGTGTGTGCCACCAATGCCGGGCTGGCCAATTTGCTTTTGTAACATTGGTAACATTGTTAATGATAGAGGGGCAAGCAGTGAAATGTTTCACCTGTACAGGTGAAACAACTTCCTCCTGCCTCTTCAGATACTTTTAATACTTTGTATAGGTTTTAAACTTAATTATCCCTAGCACCAATCAATTATAACATTATTACCCCCTATTACTGTAAGGGTAGATAATTACTTGATTTCAATATTGACAGTATTCCCTTCCCTGCTCTCAGCACAGAAACAGTCACTAACCATTCTGTCTCCTTTTTTGGTAGAGCTAGATGTAGCCCCAGAGTCCTCCACGTGGCCCCCATGAACCTGACCCAAACCAACTCCCGGGGACAAAAGCCATTGTGTTTCTGCTTAGGGAAATGGGATGTAAAGATGAAGACCCACATCTCTGTTGTGAGATGCAGGAAGACAAACAGTTGGAGCTGAGAGTAATCTATGCTGGGATAGAGAGGGAAAATTCTGTTGAATTTACAATGGTGAATTCAGCTCCTTTAATGACATGAAAATGGTCAACTTCAGACCGTGGTCTTTGTCAAAGATTATTGGTTCACCTGCTCATCAGTGTGTTCAGGTGAATGGAATGTCTTCAGCTGTTCTCACTGAGAACCACAGTGTGCTTGGGTGCCAGATCTACACATGCACTTTCAGTTTGGTCCCCTGTCTGAACTGGCAATGAACTTAGGGCTGCATATAATGTAGGCAAGTGCTCTACCACTGAGCTATATCCCTGGCCCCAATTGTAGTCTTTCAGGTGGGTTGAGACTAGTGAGTCATTTTCAATAAATACAACCCTTTGATGTAAACAAAAGCTAAGAGAGGGCTGGGGATGCAGCTAAATTGGAAGACAGCTTGCCTAGCGAGCATGAAGCCCTGGGTTCCATCCCTAGCACTATATAAAACTGGGTGTGGTGGCTCATGACTGTAATCCCAGAACTAAGGAGGCGTAGGTTGCTTGGGAGGAAGTAGTCTTGGCAGGTCCATTGACCACTTTCCCAGAGATGGGAGGAAAGGAGCCCTCTGTTTACAGGTTCCAGGTTGTGCATAAAAGATCTAGGTGTGGCTGTTTGGTTTAGTATTACATCTTTAATTTCCTGAGGCTCTATTCCAATGCTCCTACATCAATCTTATTTTCAGATTTTAATGTCGATATTAATTTCACATCCAAATTGGCACACCTAGGAGAAATCATGTATAATTAGAAAGATCTAATTGGAAACATCAGAAAACATTCTGAAACCCTACATTCTAGGCTCACAACTGCCATAGCAGGACATGGGCCAGCAACTCTTTCACTCTGGGGGCTTAGAGCATGGATGCATAGAAGGGAATAGTAATTGGGAAATTATTTATAACGTTTTCTCCTGAGGTGGCTGCCATGATGACCTGTAACATTTGCTGTGAAGAAAGCAACAAATACAGAATGACAGAGTAGAGACCAATTAGGGGTTATGTCTTGTCGGTGGTTCTACAAGCTCCTGGAGCCAATCTTTCAGGAACTGACTCTGTGACTTCAGGAAAAGTGGTTCTGTGATCCAAAAGGAAGAATCTTGTTTTATGGAACACACACACACACACACACACACACACACACACACACACATTTTTATTTTATTTTTTCTTGAGGCAAAGTCTCCTGTATTTCATCTTGGCCTCAAATTTTCTAACCTTGAACTCTCAATCCTCCAGGCTCCACCTCCTGAGTGCTGGGATTACACTTAGATGTAGTGTTGGGTATGAAACCCAGAGGCTTCCAGCATGTTAGGCAAGCATTCTACCAACTGAACTACACCACCAGCTCTACCCATCAAGCGGTTACATGATGCATAGCAAGTAGTTCAAGAACCGAAACCTAGAATATAAGAAATACCATGCAAATACTGTTTTGTGAAAAGACAAGAAAACGCGTATTTTCATAGTTTATTTGTGTCAACTCAGTTCTCTCAGAGAGAGAAATTTTTATTGCCGGAAAGTGTGGGTATAATTTAAAACTAAGTTTTCCAGTAACATGGATTAGTTGAACCCACAGTCAAACATTTAATCTCTGACCCTTACCATTTTATTTAGCATGGGCCATCAGCAGCGCACTAAGCAACCCAGGTAAGATTCTGCAGCCACACAATTTACACGAGGCCGTACCTGCACGAAATTCAACTTGATTGTGATAGAAACTCAGCAGAGTAGTTCTTTCAGGCCACTGCTTCTTTGTTTATTAATAGTGGAGTGATGTGTTTGTGTATGACTTCAAGAGTCTTAATTTTGTAATAGCCGCTCAGGAGGAGAGTAGGAGTCAGGTGATATCATCCTGAGTCACAGGATTGAGTAATTTGCTGAAAAATCCAACTGGCACCTGCAGGACCGATTCCCAAGAATCCACTTTCTCCTGAATGTCGCCGGTTGAGGCGGCTGGCCTCATCCCCGCCTCCAGGCTGAGGGGTTCACTAATCTGCATTGTTAAACAAGCCCCTCCTCATCTCATTTCCCTCAGTTGACGTCGAGGTCTGGACTCCCTGATACTCTAAGAAGCAGACGAAAAGTCCTCATTCAGCCAAGGCTCTTCCACCTGGGTTCAAGGACCCGATCGCGGTCGGGTCGCTGATTTGCAGATCCAGGGCATCTGCGAATGAAGGCATCCTTCACTCCGCGGTGAAGGAGTGAAACCCGCCTGAAAAGTGTTCTGAGTCTGCTTCCCCTTTGTCTCCAGCTGCGGATAGGCAGAGGCAGAGAGGGTCGTGAACCTGCATTCGGAGTTAGTGTGTCGCTCCCTGCAAGGGTCGCTAAGACGGAGGGAAAGTTGCGGTGGCCGCGGGGAGGCGGCTCCGCCCCCAGAGCTCTGCTCGGGGCGGCGGCGAGAGAGGGACTGGGCGGGCCGGGAGGCGCGGGGCGTGGTCTTCAGCCTCCAGTCCACAGCGGAGCGCGCTCGGCTGCGCTTTAAGCCTTCGGCCGCACGGAAGAGCGAGCGGGAGACCGATCGAGGGGCGCCATCGGGGCAGCGAAGCGAGCGGGGCGCAGATCAGGGTGGGCCCAGCCCGGGTCCTCGCCTCCAGGCAAGGCAGACATCGGTGAGCGCGGCCGCTGGGGCTCCCGCGCCCTAAAGCGCCTTTCGGGAGCGGGAGGGCGGGGAAGGGGCGGGCGCTAGCTCAGCGGGTTCCCCGAGCCGGGAGGGGAGTCCGGGGCCCCACAGGAGCCTCCGGATGCGGGGCTCCCAGCCGGGCCGCGGGAAACTTCGCCCAGGCGGGGGACAGCGGGGCGCTCCGGGCGCTGCAAACTTAGCGGCGGGCGGGGCACCCCGGAGATCTCTACGAGCACCAGCGGTTGGTGTTGGTGTCCCCGGCTTCTTTGTGTCACCTCCGGGCCCGGCCCTCGGGTGCACCCGGCTCGGCCCCGGGGCTCCCCACCATTCCTCCAGCCCGGCCCAGGCGGGCGCGCTCGTCTGATTGTTTGCATTCCTCGCGTCACGCCTGGGCGGGAAAGATTTTGAACGGGGTGTGAGAGAGAACGCTGGAGCTGCGGCGCAGAGATTGCAAGACCACGGGCGGCGGGATCGGAGAACCTGAGGCCGGGGCGCACTACCGTTGAACGGGACGGGGGACCCTGGTATTGGAGGAGAAGGGGCGGGCATGGCGGCTAAGAGCCTCCTTAGAGCGGAGAGGAGGCGCTGGGACCGCGGGGATTATAATTCCATTTTGATCGCTTGAGGTCTTTGTTGTCTCTGCTATTGCCTTTAGGGTCCGACCGTAGCACCTGGTCCTCCTTTGGGTCTCTCCCTTGAGGTCTGGAAAGGCGCCCCGGGTGGGGGTGGGTGGGCGTGGATCTGTTAAAGACTGCTGCTAGCCACAGGAGCCGCTTCTTTAGATGGAGGTGGAGAAGTCCAGTTGTAACACTTGCCTTTGTGGACGCGCCTTATTTCCGAAAGTTGTTTTCTCCTCCCCTAGTGGAAGGGAGCGTCGGAGCCGAGAGGCAGCAGACGCGGTTGTGCGCAAGCACCGGCCAGCCCGAGGCAAACCCGCGAGGGTCTTTGTGGCCGCTTAGCGCTTTGCCCGGCTGAAAAAAAAAATGCTTGAAAGTTGGATTTGAAGCAACTTCACCTGCTTCTCTAAAAGTTCCCATCGCTCCAGAGTTCTTGCCGCAGGTAAACTCTATGGCTATGCACGAATAGTTCCATCGCTTGTTTGGGTGGGGACACAGTTAAACATACCTGACCTCCTGGCAGCTTCGGTACCAGTAAACGCCACCACGGGAGAGGAAGCATTCGGTTTTTATAGCCTGGGATTTTTGATGTGTTTGCACGCCTCAATGCATGACTGCGCCCCCGGTTTTCTTTCTGGAAAATTCGCAAGACTTCCAAAGGCTTTTCCTGTGGTGACTACTGTGAAGCCTCTGTCCTGTCCTGTCCTGCCCTTGAGCGGTCTCCTCCCTCGCAGCTCCCCACCCACCCGGGGAGGTGGGAACAGGTGTAATGAGTAAAATGTGAAGGGTTTTGGTCTTTGTTTACCTATTTGAATTTAAAAGCTTCTTTTTGTTTTGTTTGGATATAGGATCTCTGGTAGTTAAGGATGGCCTTGAATTTGCTTTGCAATTGAGGCTGGCTTTGAACTTATTCACCCCCAGCCCTTCACTTCCCAGGTTCTGGAATTACAAGTGTGAGCTACCCCACCTGGTTTAATGAGCTTCTATTTGAATTTTTAGAAATTCAAAATTAAACAGTTTGGATCAGCTCAAGATATACTAAGAGTCTCTTTTAAAAAAAAAGTGCAAGTTTGCCCACTTAAGAAATTTTATTAGCGTTTCAGAGGGCTTGGGCTAATGGTACTAAGGGATACTGCAGTGTTTGAAGGACTGAGTCACAGTGGGTTGAGCTTGGGTTGTGCCCTTAGCAGCACCAGGTGCTCGTTTAATGGGAGATTCAAAACGGAATCAGTCCCATTTAAGTTAACTATGCCAGGGACGAAAAGCCCTTTACCCATTGGTCACGCATTTGTGACTCTGTCATGTTTTGAAGTAGAGATTTTCAGTAATTTCACAAACATTCACTATACAAATAATCTCTTGGAAATGTGCCAGTCACTGTGCTGGACTCTGGGAGATTTAAGTAATACCTGTTCATTTGTCAGGTGCTTGTTTTTGAACCCACAGATATGCTTTGTGATTGTCTTGCTCATCTGAAAGTGTTTCTTCAGTATGTAGGATTCATTGTGCTAGGTGTTGGAAATATGGTGTGGACAAGGCAGCTGTAGTTATTTCCTTCTAGTGGGCAAAACAGGTGGTGGAAATGAAGTATATTACTAAGCTAGCAACATACTTTGTGTTCACTTGCTTATTTACTAGAGATTACACACAGGACTTTATGTTCTATCATCGAGTTGTACCCTAGCCCTTTTCTATTTTATTTTGAGACCAGGATGTGCTAAGTAGTCCAGGCTGGCCTTGAACTTGATTGGGATCCTCCTACCTTGATCTTCGAAATAGCTGCAATTAGCGTAGCTGGGATAATGGGTGCTGCACCATGTACAGTTTAATCACAGGTTTTGAAGTGTAACTTAGATCACCTCATACTCTAGATCAGAACCATCTAGATGCCCTGCCAGCTCCCCGTGATAGGCACAGACCTACCAGGGGCTGCCAGAGTCACCTCTTGGTTTCTGGCTTCTTCATCTTGTTACTCACCTGATCTCACCTCCCACTGTCTCCTTGCCTTGCCCGGTGTCTTAGTCACACCAGCTCTCTGGCTGCTAAGGGTCTTTGGATTTACTATGCTCTGCCTGAGATGTGGTCCCTCCCCTGCTTTCCTTCCTGTAGCCCCTGACCCTTTGCTCCATGCTATTGTCTGGGTAACTCCCAGATTTAAAATCACAGTTGCCCTAGCAACTCCCATTCTTCTTCATAACTTTTGTCTCCATAACACCTATGGCTGCCTAATGTAAATTGTATCACTCCCTCGTTTATAATTTGCCTTCCCATACTAACTCATCCTGCCCCAAGGTCTCTGTAAGACATCCCACCCACAGCTGTATCCTCTCTTTGAAACAGAGCCTCAGGTAGTGCATTTGTCATGTTGTGACGATCTAGAATGGTCCTCCGGCTTTTACCTTCTGAATGCTAGGACTGCAGGTATGAGCCATGGAACCTTGCTTCCTTGCTGTGTGTTTAGAATCCAGAAGAGTGCCTGGTGTAGAGTAGGTCCTCCTTAGCTGTTTGGGCAGAAGGAGGACGGGAATGATGAAGAGCTGAGGCCCAGGAACCAGGGACTCCTGGAAGGAGACAGTGGTACTGAGACTTGAAAGGGGAAGGAAGCAGCTGCACTGTGGGTGGGATGGGAGGCTGGGAAGAGGAGACAGGAAGGGAATCCTACAGAGGTGGTTTTGTATAGAGGCCTTGGGGCAGCAAAGAACCTGGATGCTGTGGATTTATTGGTCACTGTGGTTAGGCACTCACTCTACTGCTAAGGGAACATAGAAAGAAATGATGGAGGCTGTGTGGTGTGAACAAACACCTATAAAACCAGCACTTTCCAGGTAGAGGTAGGAGGCTTGTCCGAGCAAGCATAAAACTCTAAAGCTGCCTCAACAACTGAAAAGAAAAAAAAAAAAAAAAAAAAAAAAAAAAGGGGAGGTATGCAAATGGAATACCTACAGATCATTCTGAGATTTCTTAGAGGTCACATGACTCCCGGTCGGTAGTCTTATTAGTCATATTTATGGTTCAAAAACCTAGGAATTGGGGGAGATTGTGGATGGTAGAGCCTGGGGTCAGAAACCACTGACCTGAAGCTTCTGTGTTTCACTACTGTACAAATGTCAAAAGAAAGATCCATCTCTGTGCTGATGGAACAGCTGGTACAGTAGGAAGAGGACCCATGGAGCGCTCACATGGCCCTGCTGGAAGTCATGAGCTTCCCGGGGTTGTGGGAAGAGGGAGGCACCTGATTCTGCCCAGGAGTAGGACAGGCCAACAGGGAAAACAACAGAATCATTCCTACCCCCCAATACTGTTATGAGCAGAATCAGTATGGTGACTATTAGTTAAGAAGCAGTGTTGATATGAAATAAAAGAGCTTACTCTTCAAGGCTTCACTGTGGTCAGGTAAAAAGCAAACCAAGAGACACGTGTGGTCATGCACATCTGTAATCCTAGCACTTGAGGTGGAGACCAGAGGATATCTGTTCAAGGCTACATAGCCTATATGATACATGGTTGCAAAAAACCCAAAAGCACATGAGACTTTGTCTCAGAAAATCAAATCCACGACAAAGCAAATGCTTATCCTGCCAGGTCCCTAAACCAAAATTTCTGCCAGTCTTGGGAGTGTGGCTCAATGTTAAAGACATGTCTAATGTATGTGAGCTCCCCAGCAACACACAAACTGTACACACACACACACACACACACACACACACACACACACACAGACAGGATGGGGGCTGGAAGAGGGGAGACAGGGGCACTTGCTTTTACTATAACTATCTGTGTCAAATGTCCCCTTTTTTCCTTTCACAAAGTAAAAGGTTGTATCTGAGGTAAAGTCACAATTGTTTAATGCCTCAGTAAGTCTCATGAACTTGTAAATTATAGGTTATATTCTTTCTTGACTCTATCTTAAATTGCCTTTGCTTTTCTGGAATACCAATTTTTAAAAAATATTTATTTAATGTCCTTTTGTGGTTTTGTCTACATGTCTATTTGAGGGTGTCAGATCACCTGGAACTGGAGTTACAGACCATGGTGTGCTGCCATATGGGTGCTGGGAATTGAATTTGGGTCCCTTGCAAGAACAGCCAGTGCTCTTAACCAATGAGCCATCTCTTCAGCCCTGTAATACCAATATTTAAGTTTTCTTTTTATGTTTTAAAAGATTTTATTTTTAAGTGTGTGTGTGTGTGTGTGTGTGTGTGTGTGTGT